ATCACACCGTAACCGCCGAACTTTATCATCCCTGGGGGGTTATTCTCGGCTGTTTGGGGTTAACAAATTGTGAGGAAGTATCAAGCGGGAGCCGCGATCCAGTGGTAAATTGCAAGGAATTCTAAAAACAAAACAAGAAAAAATTCTACAAAAACAAAATGAAAATAAAACAAAAAGAAAAAAAAAAGCTAAAAACAAAAAAGAAAAAAAAGAAAAAAAAAAAAAGAAAAAAAAAACAAAAAAAAAAAAAAAAAATAACAAAAAAAAAAATCAAAAAAAAAAAAAAGAAAAAAAAAAAAAAAAAAAAAAAAAACAAAAAAAGAAAAAAAAAAAAAAAAGAAAAAAAAAAAAAAAGAACTAAAAAAAAAAAAACCAAAAAAAAAAGAAAAAAAACAAAAAAAAAAAAATCTAAAAAAAAAAGCGGAGCGCGATCTTCAATAAATTTGTAAGGAAATTAAAAAAAAACGGACCGTTGTTGTGTTGAACTGGGGGCGCAACGACACAGTTGACCCTCAAGACTTTCTGTGATAAAAAGACAGGGTGTGAGCCCCGGGAAGGGCACTTCAATCGAACAAAAAAACAATATGCACCGGACGGGGGGGATCAACAATAATTATACTTCAAAAACGAGTTCAACAACAACAACAACAACAACAACAACAACAACAGCAGCAGCAGCAGCAGGAACAACGACAACAACAACAACAACAACAACAACAACAACAACAACAGCAGTAACAGCAACAACAGCAACAGCAACAGCAACAACAACAAACAGTTTAAGACTATTCGCTCTTATCTGCTCGACTGTCCGTTCACGCGTATTTCCAAACCCTCGATACCCGTCCTCTTCGTCTTCGATCGTACCCTTTGGGGGGGTATACCGTTCTTCCCTGCAGACTGGGCCCCGGCAAGCAGCGGGGCGGCCGCGGACCGTCGGCCTGGCCAATGGCAGCGGTGATCGGCGGCAGCCCGACCCCAAAAGAGGGACGGACAGGGGACCGACCACGACGACGACGACGACGACGACGACGACGACGACGAGCGAAAGCGAGAGCGAGAGCGAGAACGACAGCAGGGCCACGAAGGGCAAGGAGTAGGCAACGAAGAGCGACAGCGGGGAGCAAAGGGCATGCGTATGGGGCCACGAACAGCGCGAACGAGTGGGGGCCACGAAGGGCAGATAATGCGGGGCCAAAGAAGGCAACAACGGGGCCACTGAGGGTAGCAACTGGGCCACGAGGGGCAGCGACGGGGCCACGAAGGGCGACAGCGGGGCCACGAAGGGCATGCATATAGCGGCCACGACGGGCGCGAACGAGCGGGGGCCACAAGGGGCACATATATGGGGCCACGAAGGGCAGCGAGGGGGCCACGAAGGGCTGCAACGGGGGGGCCACGAAGGGCAGCGAGGGGGCCACGAAGGGCTGCAACGGGGCCACGAAGGGCAGCGAGACGGCCACGAAAGGCTGCAACGGGGCCACGAAGGGCAGCGAGGGGGCCACGAAGGGCTGCAACGGGGCCACGAAGGGCAGCGAGGGGGCCACGAAGGGCTGCATCGGGGCCACGAAGGGCAGCGAGATCCCGATCCCTAAAATAATCGATGAGGGAGTTCGAAACGTGAGCGCGACTCCTGGGTGCGGGGCCACGAAGGGCATGCACATTTGGGCGACGACGGGCGCGAACGAGCGGGGCCACGACGGGCATACCTACATTGGGCCGCGAAGGGCAAGGACGGGGCCACTGCACGAAGGACAGCGATGGGGGCACGAAAGGCGACAGCGGGGTCACGAAGGGCATGCATATGGGGCCACGACGGGGGCGAACGAGCGGGGGCCACGAAGGGCCTACATCGATGGGGCCACGAAGGGCAGCGGGGGGGCCACGAAGGGCTGCAACGGGGCCACGAAGGACAGCGAGGGGGCCACGAAGGGCTGCGAGGGGGCCACGGAGGGCAGCGAGGAGGCCACGAGGGGCTGCAACGGAGCCACGACGGACAGCGAGGGGGCCACGAAAGGCCGCAACGGGGCCACGAAGGGCAGCGAGGGGGCCACGAAGGGCTGCAACGGGGCCACGAAGGGCAGCGAGGGGGCCACGAAGGGCTGCAACGGGGCCACGAAGGGCAGCGAGGGGGCCACGAAGGGCTGCAACGGGGCCACAAAGGGCAGCGAGGGGGCCACGAAGGGCTGCAACGGGGCCACGAAGGGCAGCGAGGGGGCCACGAAGGGCTGCATCGGGGCCACGAAAGGCAGCGAGATCCCGAATCCGAAATAATCTGCGAGGGAGTCCTATGCGTGAGCGCGACTCCTGGGCGCCTGAGTGTCGGGAGCGCGGCACTTGAGTAAATTGCAGAAAATTCCCACGTAAGGGCGCTATGTTTGAGTAAATTGCAAGCAAATATCCAGCGAGAGCGCGACTCCAGAGCGCCGAAAGGGCGATTCCTGCATATTGTAAGGAAGTCCCAAACGAGAGCGCGGCTCCTGCTGAAAATGCGAGGAAGCCTCAGGCGGGAGCGGGGGTCCTGAGTCCTGGCTAGATCGTGAGGAAATTTCAAGCGGGAGCAGTTGTCGTCGCACCCCAGGGGCCAACAACATAGTTTGAGCACGAAGACTGCCCCTGACACTTGACAAAAATGCGAGCGCCGGGAGGGGCTCTTCAACTTAAACATACCACGTGC